TTCAAATTCTTCCCTCTGCTACCCCAGTACTTCAAAACCCTTAGACGCTGTGGTCCAGCTGGTTGCTGTCAGGATCTGAGTGGTATCTGCTTCTCCAGAACTGCTCCCCTTGGAAACCACATGGGGGGCACTGATCCTGAAGCACACAGAGGCAAGACCACGGTGCTTAAGGCTTCAGTCACAGTGTGGCTAGAGGGAGTCCACAGCCAGCGCTGAGGGCTTGATCTGAGGCAGAAGATGGGACCGGAAGAGGAGGTTGGAATTTCTTCCTCTGGCTGGCAGGAATCAAGCCATTACATTTGACCACTTCTTAGTACTAGAAACAAAATCATACTAACACATACCACGAAGGAGATGCTACTCTGTAGCTTGTGTGTGTTTTTTAAAAAATTAATAGTTATATTTTCCTGTTACTAAAAGATCGGATAGGGAGGACCTGCCTTTTCTCTAGTCTGGTTTTGCCATAAATATGTGACAGATATTCCCAGAATCTTTCCTGTTTTTTCTTCCTTTGATTTCCGCAGTCTTTTATATAAAAGGACATATTTATAAACTGTTGGTCAGCCACGGCCCTTCCGTATCATGGAGGGTGAGACCTACTTCTGTTTCGGGTAGCACCCAAATCCCATGAAGTCCTTTTCACCCTCACACCGCTGCTGTGCTGGACGATGCTAGGGGAACTCGCAGCGCAGGGCGCCAATGAGATCACGACCCACCATGTGTCTCTGTGCTTTGAAGGCAGCTACGAAATAGAGGGTCTCGGGGTCTTTGGGGCAGATGGTAAACAAGAGAGACATAAAAAGGGGAAAGATGGGCCAGCTGCTTTCCCCAGTATTCAAATCTTAAACTTCTTGCTTCCCAAGACTGGATGAAGAGTCCTACTGACATGGAGCGTGACTAAGCAGAGCATGGCTTATGCAGGTGGAGCTGGAAGGCCCTGAGGGAACTAGTGCAGCGTCCTCCTTTTTTCGCTGAGGTTTCTGAAACCCAATTGGAAAAATAGCCAGTGACTTACCATGATGATTGTCTCTATGACTGTGTCCTTTAAAGATTCCTAGAAACCCCGGTTCTCTTTGCATCAGCAGTCCATAGTGTCCTTGCGTTTCCTCAGCTCCCGTTAGGGAACTGGCGGCTGGGACAGCACCTTGACCAAATACTTGCTGAACTCAATTAACTCTATTGTTTATCCCTGCCAGGCAAACTTAGTATTCCTGGAGCTCCTGACACTTAAGGGATGACCTCTCGTTCACGTATTTTGAGGTTCGGTGGCCAGTGCCCTATTTGTCATTTCTCTATAATTTATATCTTTTGATTCTGTTCTTTTATAACTTTTCATTAAATGCAATTATTATTTGCCTCTCTCCAGGCACTACCAAACACATTACTATGGATATTTTCTGTCTTTACAAGTATTACAAATTCAGAGATACTTTTTTTTTTCGCAGTTGTTTAAAGAACTGGACTCTTAACCAGACTTGCTAAGGCACAGTAGTAATGTAAAAATTCCATTTTCCTGGTTTAGTGAATACATGGGAGAATACTACTGATACACACATTTATTTTCTACATTGTTGACTGCCTTACACATCTCTTTCACTTTTAATTCCTTAAATACATAAATATGAATCACAATATCGAAAGCAAGTTTCATTTACAAAGAACATGATTAAGAAATGAAGAAATGGTGACTTGTAGGGAATTGGCACTTAAAGATTGGTAATGTTTAGAAAACATGTTTAGAAGTTGGTGAGAATGCTATGACTAATTTCATAAGAGCTGTCACGGTTCAGATGACACCTGTTAGTGAAATGTTAAGAGATAATTCCTTTATTGGATGATATTTTTTGTGGATTTAGTTTTTCGGCCAGTTTTGTTTGAAGTTCCTGTTGCATTTTTTTTTTTAATTAATAAAAATAATTTATTGAATTTCAGGAACTTGGTACTTTTAAAATTTCAAACCTTTGCACACAAATCACCACTAACACAACCTAAACTCTAGATATGTCAGAATTAACTTACAATCATCATTCATAGAAGAGTTAAAGTTACCACTGCCAGCTGAGAAAATTTTAAAAAGTAGGCTAGATGGCAGCACTTCCTATTCACATCAACTTAATATGTTCAAGAGTTGGAGGAAAAATTTCAGATCATTCTGTTTTCCCACCACCACACCACTTCGGAGATTTAAAGCAGTTCTGAAATCCTGATGTTACTTCAAAAGTTTCAGCTTACTCTCTCAGGCCTCCTTACTATGATACAAAATAAATACACAGTGACACTGGTGAGTGGTTACTGTTAGGGAAAACAAAAAGACCTAGCACACCAAGACTGCCGATGATTCTAGTAAATGCTTCCTTCTCCCACTGACCATTCGCATAGACAAGGCTCAGGCTCACAGAGCTCTCTGACTTGCAAGAACAAAACTGAATCAGTAATCCAGACTGTTGACAGCATCTATGCTGCTGTTATCTTGGGGCATAAAAATGTTTTTCAACATGAATAAGGTTCACTGTAGTTTAAATTCAGCTGCACATTAAGTGCTTAAGTGCTGACAGTTATTAGTTGACAGTGGGGGCAAGAAAAAAAACGACTTAAGTGCTCCAGGAAATGAAAGCATGCTTGTACGCTTTAAGGTTAAGTGTCTGATGATAAGGAAGGGTTAGGTAGTCTTGGAATCTCAGGGTCAGTATTCATTCAGCAAACATTTACTGAATACCTAATAATTTTTCTTTATTACATGAATATGTTTGTCTTGTCAGCATGGATTTAAGGTAGTTGAAATTTATTACATTCCACGTTTGGTGCTAGATAGTAGAAAGAAAGAAAAAGATACATTTCTTGCCTCCATGAGTCACATTTCTTGGGAATGTGAATTTCTAGGGACCCACTCCAGTACATTCTTGCCTGGAGAATCCCATGGACAGAGGAGTATGGTGGTCCAGGGGTTGCAAAGAGTCAGACACGAATGAGCGGCTAACACTTTGAAGTTCCTGCCCTCATCTGTAAGATCTGAAAAGAAATTACTCTCATTTCAAATAAGAAATATTTTACATTAAACAACGTTCTCAGGAATTCCCTGGCAGTCCAGTGGTTATAACTCAGAGCTTTCAATGTGGTGACCCAGGTTTAACCCCTGGTCAGGGAACTAAGATTCTGCAAGCCATGCAGTGCCCCCCCAAAATAATGTTCTCAGGGGTTATGAACTCTGACAATAATGCAGGACGGTCAGGGCAGGTGGGGGGCAGAGGACAAAATAGAAAAAAAAAAAAACCTGTCCAGATTATATTTAAGTGAAATACAAAATTTTGAGAAGACGTAACTAGTTCTATGTTCCCAAGAGTAAGAGTGGCAAAGGCGGTTTAAAGGTCTTCCCCCAAAGTACCTCAGATTCTCTTGTCTGACGTATCATAATGAGAGCATTTCTTATCTTCCTTTACTATGACGTCATAAAGCAAGTCCCCAGCCTCAAAAAAAAGCATAGCTCTTGATATCAAGGGACATCTAATTTATGTTCTAATAGTAACAGACTGTGTACTGGTAAAATGAATTCACTTCTAGTATTTTCACATTATTGACAACATAGAAAAGAAATATCTGTGTGCCTATAGACACACAGAATAGAAGTCCAGGGTGGCAAACTTAGAATCTGCATATCAAAAAGGTATTTGTCCAACTGTGTTTTCTATGTAGGTCATTAACAAGACTACATAGAAACTACATCTAAAAATAAGTAGTCTTATATTTTGCAATTCCCTAAATGCTACCCATAAACAGTTTCTAAAAAACAGCAGAGTGAAAACAAATCTGATGAAATCAAAGTGTTAAGTTTTTTAAAATGAATGATAATTTGATTGCTGAATGTAGATAGCGTGGAAGGAAGTTTTCCAACCCTTGGTCTAAAAAAAATATTTATATCCAGGTAAAGCACAAAGGCAATGAGAATTAACCAATAGGAAAAAAGGGCCCAACCACCAATACATATGTGATGCTAGCAGGTAAAGCAGAGCTCTGGAGAGGGTACACGGGCTCTAACCTTGGCTAAAGAAGGTGCTGGAACATGCTTGACCTCGGCAACTCTTCCACCCATCTCAACGCGTCTATGAGGAATCCTCATGAGCTTTTAGCACAACAAGGGAAGGACTATGCCTTGGAGTCCCCCCACTTGACAAAGACCTCTAGAGGAACCCACGATATTTCAAAGAGCATGAAAAGCCACTTACAAACTAAAACCAACTAGAGTTAGAGTCCCATTACTATTGAAACTAAACGTCTGTGTAGAAGGTATCTTGGTAAGAATCTTGCCTACATCCAATCTTAGAGTCCCTTTCATGGCATTTAGGAGAGATGGGATATTTTAGCTTTTGTTTGGGTGTCTATAGCAACTGGAAATTCTACTACTTGAGTCCATTCCTCTTTAGAATAACTCTTATTGCAAAGTTCTTTCTTGTATTGAAGCAAACATCTGTCATCCATAAAGCTCCTCTTTTTGCCCTTTGAAGCAACACAGGAAAAGTCCAGTTCCTCTCCACTTTTATAGTTCAACGGAGATTTCAAGGCAGCTATTATATCATCCCCTCTTTTTCCATTTGCAGCTATACCTTCTGTTCTTCAGGGGAACTATTGCCCGATTCCACGTATAATCAGACTCTTCACGATCCTGGCCACCTGACCCTGGACGCAATAATTTATTAATGTCTCTCTTAAAATGTGGTTTCCAGAACTGAACCCAGTCCTCCGCCAGGTGTGGCCTGAGCTGTGCCGCGTGCAGGGCTCCTTAGATTTCTGTTACCACAGGCCAAATGTGTTAGTTTAGCCGTGATATACCCCTGACTCAAAACTGAACTCCTATTTCCCTAAGAAAACATTTCTACAAAAACTGCTGTGAAACCAGGACTTTCTGACATCTTTCCCATTAACACACACATCCGTACACACAGAGGCGCCCTCGTCTATACTCAGGAGGTTGCATTTAAGAAACTCAGAGTATGGGAGTCTCTTGGTAATGCCTGTTCAATTTTATCCTTTTAGTTTCAGTCTTATGTTCACATATTTCAAAAATTACAATGATTTCTGTATCCTAATGTCAGTACATAGTTAGAATTCAGTGAATATTCATGGGATGAATTAATCCTGAATCTACTAGTCAACAGACTAGATATATATGTCTACTTCTGGGTCATCTATAAATCTGATAGGCGTACCTTCTGCCCTCCTTACTCTTTTCTTCATCAGAGAACTAAGAAGGCAAATAAAAGCTGCCTTTAAATTGTTGATCCTAGTATTCCCTCTGGGATGTGGAGGTACAGAACGTGAGCAGGAACAGATGAAGAGAAAGAATATTGAGTGTCCTAGATTCTTGGAATCAGGATTTAAGGTTCCCAACATTAGAAAAATATGGCTTTCCCCTATCTCTACCCTAGAGTTTTCTGCCTTTCAGATCTATTAGAATACTGTGATTATCAAACTGTGAATTTTTAGGAAAAGCTCATACAAGCTTAATTTTGAAACAACTTTTAAAATGATCTTTTCAAATTACATTTCCTATAAAGTTTGAGTTAGAGACACGAAGGTGTCTACTGGCTATGAGGTATAAAATGGAGTTCCCAAAATGCCCTTGACAAATGCCTGAGATATATGCATCCATTTATTTCAGGAGTCAGAAATGGCATATATTTTTCAGTGTGAATTTAGAAAATCACTGAGATTGAAGCTGTCTCCTGAAATGAATATTATCTCAAAATGAATATTCCTTTTCCCCAGAACGAAGAAAAATAGCTCAATTTTGCTTTCCGTCCAACAGCCACTCTGCAGAATACAGGGCTAATTACAGAATTTAAAAGCATCCTATTGTGCCTTTTTCCCCATTGTCTATTGTGACTCAGGATGGTGAACCCTGGGGCTGACACTTTAGAAAGATGGAAAAAGTGTTTCAATTTCGAACCTGGGAGAAAACCTTTCAGAAACTTCCTTCTTGCATAGTGCTAACATTTGAAGCGTGGAGACACCTAAGAAAGGTCTAGCAGACCCAGAGAAGAAATCGGTTTTGTACCTTTTGTCATTCTTTCTTTAGAGGGAGTGATGGAGGTGGAGTCTTGGTTAATTAACTTCTCAAGAAATTGTTTTCCAGAAATTGATTGACAGATGAACATCAGGAAGAAATCACACCAACACTGATGGGGGGGTGGATTTCTTTTCCTGACTATTATCAGTCATGACAAGCCATACCCAAGAGCCTTGAGATAAGCAAGAGTGGAGGGAGGCTTAATTATACCGTAAGCTCCACAGGCCAGGTGACCCGTGTGCTTCCAGCATAGTCAGAGCCTCTCCCAGGCAGCCACCTTAGGGTTCCCTGTTAGAATACAGGTCACTACAAAACAGGAGGATCCATACACTGTTCTCCACAGGGAGGAGCCGTGCTAGGTACTGACTTGAATTTCAGCTATTCAGGAAGACATCCTATGGTGCCGCTGGGGTCAGGAACCCCCTGCAAGACGGCCTCATCACTGGACCCCACACTCCTGGGGATTTTCCAAGTCGTCTCCTTCCAAGTCCAGCTTCAAACTCTTTTTCTGCTCAATTTCCACCTGTCAAGAAATAGACGTCAGAGAGAAATAATCAGAAAGAAATATCAGGAAAACATCCCAACAAATAACCAAAAGAGAAAAACCTCACCAGGTTCTTTGAGAGTCCTTACAGTTTGGCTAACAGTCTGGGGTTTAGCCACACCAAGCTACTGGCCCTGTGCAGATCATGGCTCTGAATGTGCACATGTCCTTGGCTTGGTCTGGAATTCCTCTCCCTCGGTCCACCTGAGAAATCCTTCTTCTTTGCCTTGCACAGTTGCTTAAAGATCATCTCTCCTGTAAAGCTGTTCTTGACTCCCCAGGTAGAATCAGGTGCCCCGCTGTGTATATTTCCCCTACACCCTATACACTCGCCCAGCCCCACTACAGCACAGGCCCTGTAAGACAGGGCAGGCCCTTTTAACTATTAAACCCCAATAATATAGGCAAACACAAAGGTTTATCAAATGAATGGATTTCTTTGCAGTTGGCTGTGTACACTCTCTCTGACTTTGTCTCTTTAAACAGTCTGCGGAGAATCCCCTGGCAGTCCAAAGGTCAGGACTCCGCCCTTCCACTGCAAGGGGCACAGGTTCGATCCCTGGTCAGTGAATTAAGATCTTACATGCCGTGTGGCAGAGCCAAAAAATATATATATATATATATCCAGTAGTATTTACAGTTCTGCCTGTATCTTTTGCAGAATCAGTTCAGTTCAGTTGCTCAGTCATGTCCAACTCTTTGCGACCCCACGGACTGCAGCACGCTAGGCCTCCCTGTCCATCACCACCTGGAGCTTACTCAAACTCCTGTCCATTGAGTTGGTGATGCCATCCAACCATCTCATCCTCTGTCGTCCCCTTCTCCTCCTGCCTTCAACCCTTCCCAGCATCAGGGTCTTTTCAAATCAGTCCGTTCTTTGCATCAGGTGGCCAAAGTATTGGAGTTTCAGTTTCAACATCAGTCCTTCCAATGAATATTTAGGACTGAATTCCTGTAGGAATACTACAGCTTTTGCAGAATACTATAGCTGTTAATTATAAAGAGATTAATCAATTAATCTTGTCTTGAGAATGACACACCTCATCTGAAGCCTTTTGATAAGTCAGGCAGGGAATCTTTTGAGTTTGGGAGCTTCATAATGAAAGCTGCTTCTCTCAATACTGATATTTATAATAATGAGGGAAAGAATTCAAGACAAAACAGTTGACTAGGATCATATTTGAAGAAAGTGCTGGAAAAAAAAAAGTGCTGAGTTGTTTTTTTTTCTGGCCACAAGGTGGAGTATTTGTTCTTTTCAGTAGTTGAATGTTTTGGAACGTACAACTAAGGAAACATTTAAAGAACAGTTAAATAATGGTATAAATCTATGGGTGTTATTATGAATAGAAAATCATTAAACCGCTCTGCCAAATCCTTCTTCAGTATGCCCGCTCCGGCCCCCTGCCCGTTTTCCATCTTTGGCATTTAATCTCCTCCTGTGCGTGTGTGCTCAGCTGCTTCAGTCACGTCCGACTCTTTGCAACTTTATGGACCGTACCCCTCTAGCTCCACTGTCCATGGGATTCTCCAGGTAAGCATACTGGAGTGGGTTGCCATGCCCTCCTCCAGGGGATCTTCCCGACCCAGGGATGGAACCCGCATCTTGACGTCTCTTGCATTGGTTCTTTACCACTAGCATCTCTTCCTACTGAATCTCTTAACTCCCCAAGATATAATCACTCTTTATGTCAGAACTCTCCAGCTTCACACCCCGCTTTGCAGCCCTGATCCTACTACTGCTATAAAGGTTTGCCTGGCTTTTGAGATTGCTCTGTTACAGTCCAGTGACCAGGTCAGATGTGTCTTAACATCACTCAGATCCACTTTATCAACATCTGCAGTTGAAATATATGCTTAAGAGTTAACATTTTCCTGAGCCTGCCTGCACTTTCAAACCCACTCCCCTGCACATAAATTATATGATAAAAAATTAATAGTAATCCCCTAACCCCATGGCTCTTTTGTCATTCATGGCAACTGAGACATTATATCCTCCTCTTTCATTAGCCTCTCTTTCCAGCCTTTCTGTTGCCCACGAGCGGGTTTATTCACTTAACTCAGAGCAGCTTCAACCACAGCTATGCACGCTGGGCCACCGCCATGGTGACCAGAGCGCCTGTCTGCACCCTGGGCGGGCACTGCTAAAAGGAATGGGAGCAGGGAGCGTCTGGGCGTAAACAGACAGACTTGGAAGCATTAGCCAGATGCCCCCTGAGGCTACCTTGTAGCTGTAGTGTGCGGAATAATTGACCCACTTCCTGACATCCGTCTTGTCTTCCACCGAGATGGATCTCACAGCAGCTTTGGAGGCAGACGTTGTAGGCATGCTGAACTCGACATTCACATGATTGGCAAATCTGGAAGGCACTTCCCGGTCTGAGCCAAGTTCAAGGTGGCAGAAGAAACAGTGTGGGTGACCAGAAGCTATAAAAGAAAAACAAAGAATCTAGGGTTTGGGTTCTCTGGCGAAGAAGTGGAAGGAGAGTCTCAGTAACAAAGCAGGTCTGGCAGCCTTTCAGAGGGTCCAACGCTGAGCAGAGGACTGGCCTCGGTGGAAATCACACTGCATGTATGTGCCTCAGACTGCTGAACGTAACACCGTCTCATTACGGTAGCCTGGTATCCTAGCAATAAAACCCGTGACCTGGGAAGTGAGGCTCACTCTGCCTGCTCAGGTCAGAGCGCGACGTGAACACAGCACAAATACCAGGAAACAAAGATTGTAGATTGGCAGAAAGGAATGAAAGAGATCAGCACTTAGCACCTAATAAAACATCAAAGGCAGACACCTGGAGCAAAATCATCAATTTCTATTGAAAGCTGAATTGAATTTTCTTCACAGCAGTTCATGTTTTTTTAAATGCTCTTGGCATGTTTTTCAGGTGAATGAAATATGTAAATAACAAAGCCGTTAGAAACTGCACACAGGCATTAGGGAAGCATGGTTTCCAAGATATCTTCCTAGGGCGACATCTGGGAAAGAATCTGCCAATGCAGGAGACCCGGGTTCCATCCCTGGGCCATGAAGATCCCCTGGAGGAGGAAATGGCAACCCACTCCAGCAGTCTGGCCTGGGAAACCCCGTGGACAGAGGAGCCCAGCGGGCTACAGTCCACAGGGTCGCAATGAATCAGACACAAGTGAGCACGTGGTCAGGCGCATGGAACGCCGGAGAGAACACAAGACTAAGGGCCGGGACCTGTCAGTCCTGGGTTTGACCTGCGACTCTCCTGAGTGCGAGGGCCCCACACCCAAACCCTTGTTCTCTTCATGCTTCTTCCTCAAGGATGAAGTGCGGAGTTGGGGGTTGGTAGGAAAGGGAGAGCTGAACAAGGCCAGGCATTGGCCCTTACTGCTATTTAACGCTATAAATCTGTGGCTGGTCCTGCAGTATCTGGAAGGCAAACTTATGGTCTGATTTTCATCTGAAGATTGTTACCAGATTGTTTGAGGCAGAAGAGCCAGAACTGAGCTCCCTGACTCACCACGGACGTGTCGCTGCCGCCGCTGGTCGGATGTAGCAGGAGATGTTTCCTGAGGACCCTGAACCAGGTCGTGTGCAAAGTGCTCCCTGCAGATTTCTCACTGCATCTTCATAACCGTCCCCTGAGGCTGTGATTTTGTTACATTTGTACAGATGAGGAACTAAGGCTTCGGGAGGTGAGGTCGACCGCCCAGGGTCACAGCTAGCAAGTGGCAGAGCCAAGAAAACTGGACCCAGCGGTCCGCCTTCCAGACGCTCTTAACTGATTTGTCTGTGTGACAACCTCAGAGTCCTTAAACCTCGGTACCAGGGTTTGCAGGGTGACAGGGGTGGAGAAAAAGCCTAAGGACCCAGACTCACTCTGGATAAACAGTGTGCCTCTGACTCCATGATGTAACTGAAACAGCCCGGAGTTATCTGAGTTTCCCCAAATAAACAATTCCAATTTCCTCTATTGGTCTGGGCAGGACTTTTTAATCTCAGAGAGTGAGGACATACACACCCGCTCTCCAAGGAAAACATTAGAGCGTGAAGTATTTGTTTTGCTCTGTTTCACAAATGTGACATATTTCAGTGGTTCTTTCTAAAACGTAATACTTAAGAAAAAGATTGCAGTTTTTTAGGAAAGGAATTTAAGATACATGTAGTAGTAAAAATTACATTATTTGAAAATCAATTAATTCAGCTTTTTTTTAACTGTGTAACCACAGATGTCATTATACGGTCATCCCTTACTGAACGTTTATTACAGGCCAGAGACTGTGCTAAACACTGAAAAGCATTATCTAATTTCATTCTTAATGAGCTGGGTATTAATAATGCTGTTTTATAAAAGAGGAAACTGAGATTTCTCTGAAAGGTTTAAGTAAATTGCCAAAGGGAACAGTCATTAATTGTAGTACTAGGAATAAAATTCATATCTAAGTGACTCCAAATTATGTCCTAGACTCCTCTCAATATACTGCTATTATATCATTACAAAGTAGATAGAGAAGTTTCTTAATTCAATAGCAACCTCAATGACAGTTTTCTCTCATTACCCTTATTTACATATTGCTGGAACACTGAAAACCATAACTTTCCACAAAACTGACGCTCCTCTTCTCACCCCAACCAAAGAGTATTCACCACAAATTCTATGAAAACAACAATCTTTCTTGAGTTCTGGCATCAACCAATGGACGCTGGGGCTTGTGGACAGATGTGCTGTGTGCTCAACTGTGTCTGACTCTGACCAGCAGACTCCTCTGTCTGTAGCCCACCAGGCTCCTCTGTCCAGGCCATTTTTTAGGCAAAAATACTGGAGCGGGTGGGTTTCTCTGGTGGCTCAGCCAGTAAAGAATCTTTTGCCTGCAATGCAGGAGACCTGGGTTCGAACCCTGCATCTGGAAGATCCCCGGAGAAGAGAATGGCAACCCACTCCAGTATCCTTGCCTGGAGAATCACACGGACAGAGGAGCCTGGCGAGCTATAGTCCATGGGGTCTCAAAGAATCGGACACGACTGAGTTACTCACACTTTCACTTTCTCTGGAGTAGGTTGCCATTTCTTAACTCCAGGGGATCTTCCCGACCCAGGGATTGAACCTGCATCTCTTGCATCTCCTGCATTGGCAGGTGGATTCTTTACCACTGATCCACCTGGGAAGCCCAACAGATAGGGAAGTGCAATTTTGAAAGCTAGTATGGTTTCACAGCAATGAACTAATTAGCTTACACATTGTGTCATCTTAATGATGTTGAGAAAATTTAACATTAAAATTCAGACTGCTATTTCTCATGGAAGGGGAACCCTACTGGAATTGTTTCCTCTTTACCTGATATAACAAGAACTGGAATTCCAGCAAAGAAAGCTACCTGTGCAAGATAGAATGTTTTGTTCCCAGGCAGTCAGCCTGGGAAAGCACAGAACTTGTTCTGGTACCTTCCAGGAATCAGGAACGCCCTGGAGATTAGGATGAGAGGGAGAACACGGATGGGCCCTGCTGGCGGGAGCCATGTAGGAATCCAATGGGGGGGCTTGTTAGCCTTTTGCGGGCTTGTTGGGGTGGCCCTGCTGTGACTGCAGGCTTGCGGTGCTGGTAAGGCCTGGGATGCCAGCCTGGCCATTGCTGCCTCTTGGTCTGACCATCCCGCCTCCGGGAGCTAGGGTTGCAGGGCCAACACAAGTGGGATACACGGGCAGAGGTTCAGTCCTCTTCCACTGCAGAGACGTGAGGATTCTGACAGCCTAATAGAGACACCTTCCCAAAGCTATCCCTAGACTGAGATAGAAGAGCTCAGGAAGGCGATAGTTACTAATAGATAATCCATCACCAGCTCTCTGGGTTCATGGATGGAGCGAGCCCTGGATGGGGAAGGCAAGGGGCTCAGAACACAGAATACCAACAACGGTAAGACCCTGAAGTCTGCCAGGAATTTAGATCCTGTACCTGTCCAGTTGCCAGAAATGGGTGCTATCAATGTCCTGAACTGATACAGAAATATACCATTGGCCAGAAGCAGAATAAGAAGTTCTCTGGGTGGGGGGTGGGATTTCACTTCTAAAAACACACAACCATGACAGCAAATCAGTAATTGAGGAGGGGGTGGTGGTTGGTTTAAGTGAGAAACATCCCCAGATATTCTTGCGGTGTCCTGTATTTTAACAATCATTCACAAGAAAGGTTCCACTAAACGTGGAAATAACCTATGTGATATATAGGCTGCACTTTCCTGGCCTTGAGCCTGCTGAATACTTCCCGCCTGGGAAGCATTAATAGTTGCTGTTGCTGAGGACTATTTATTCCCTATCCTGTATCTTCTCCCTTTTTAATCTGGTAACCATCTTTTTTTTTTCTTTTCTCTCTGAGAAATAACTCTTCCCTAGCACTGCATCTCAGGAGAAGGAAATGGCAACCCACCCCAGTATTCTCGCCTAGAATTCCGTGGACAGAGGAGCCTGGTGGGCTGCCGTCCACAGGGTCGCACAGAGTCGGACACGACTGAAGTGACTTCAGCTTCGGCGGCAGCAGCCCACGGCGTGTCATCCTGGTGGTCATGTCTGTCACGCCCTTCGAGCCTTGGGAAGTGGCACGAACGGCTCGTGGGGGTTCATCCGAACGCTGCGGCCTGAGGATTCCTCCCACAGCTCCTGCCATCCAGGATCATCCTTCCGGAAGCCTGCTTGTTCCTCTAGTTCTCCGAGACCACCTGCATCTTCCCCACAGTGTCTCTCTTTTTGCTGAAAGAAGCCAGTCAGTCTCTGCGGCTTGTAAAGCCCCTCACGTGGTACCTTTCCATATTTGAGAGAAGGAACTTTGAAGCAAAGCAGGTATGTGAGGAAACTACAAATCTCTGTGCTCATAATGGAAGTTACTTCAAGTCTGTGTCTGTTTTGTATGACGAACCGAGAGGCAGCGGTGCTATTGAGAATGAAAAAAGACCCTGGATGTGATGGGTCATGTCACTCCTGGTCCTTCATTTTCTCGTCTGTGGAAGGAAGAGGTTTGCCTAAAGTCATCCCACAGGTCCCTCCCAGCTTGAAAATCCAGTTATTCCATAAGGAAGTGGTCTGAATCCATGCTTAGTAAATTGCAGAGCTGAAAATCCCAGTAAACACAAATCGGAGGCCCTGTTTTTTCTGATGTCATGCCTCCAGCAGGCTAAACAGCGATTTTCCCCCTGTGACCTTGGTTCTGTTCTCAGGGGGCATCCGTGCCACAGGAGAGGCAAGGGCCTCTTCTCTCTGCCATCAATTCAGATGGGCCAAGACAAAAATCCTGGTGCCATCAGCCAGGTGAAAGCGTGCTGGCCTCGGAGAAGTGAATAAGCAGGTACTGAGAGCAAGGCCTTAAAAATCGTGTCCACTGAGAAACAGGGTGGCCAGCCCAGCCTCAAACACAGAAGCCCAATTGTCTCCAGTCTGCGCCGCTACACCCAGCGTCGGACACAGAAAGCCCTGGTGTGTGTCCACTGCCTGGCCCGCCGGGGGAGCTGACCAGATCGCATTGCCTCTTGGCTTCATGTCATACTGCATCTAGGGTGAAACACAGCCACTCCGCACTCCGAACAGGAAATGAAGACTCTAATTATGTTGTTAGGATTTAACAGGGAGAACGGAATAAAGAGTATCTGCAGAAGGGAAAGTTCAACCAACAGTTTTTCCAAACATTTTTTGTTGTTGTTGTTGTTGGCCAAAATACCCACTTTTGTGTATTACAAACGAGAAGTGGTTTAAAGGACCATGGGCTTATTGCCTGCCATTGGGATCGCCCAGACTTACTCTAAGAAATAAAACTATTAGAGCTGGTTTGATCACTCCCCAGTTTTGTCATTCCACCAAATCTCTCCAGACCCAAGAGGAAAGCCGTTGCCTTCGGGCCCACTCGAGCAGACAAGCACCCCGTTCACTGCGCGCAGGCCAGCAAGGGCTGGTAAGCTGTCTCTTTTGAGCAAACACTCCTTCCCTTACTTTCTGCCAGGGAACATTCCAGTCCTTCTGGACCTTCATGTTCTAGCTGTCTGCGGTCTGATCAGAGGCCCCTTCTCTCTCTCTCTCAGAGTCGCTCAGTCGTGGACGCTTCTTTGCGACGCCATGGACTGTCTGCTAGGCTTCTCTGTCCATGGAGCTCCCAGGCAAGAATCCTAGAATGGGTTGCCATTCCCCTCTCCAGGGGATCTTCCCCACCCAGGGATTGAACCCGGGTCTCCCGCATTGCAGGCGGACTTCTTTACCATCTGAGCCACCAGGAAGCCCTGGGAAGCCCCGTCCCCGTGCCCAAATCCCAGTGCTAAGCTTGGGAGGTTATGATTGACAGGCTTTGCACAGGGCTACAGGAATCATCAATCCAACTCCCGTCTACACTGTACACGATGGGCCTTCACCCGGCCCTTTTCCCTGCACTCGGGCAGGGAGACCTGGCGTGCAGCAGCCCAAGGGATGGCAAAGAGCTGGACATGACTCAGCTGCTGAGAAAAATAATGCATCATTTCACGAAAGAAGTGTGAAGAAGGTAGGGGAATAAAAAGATGGAGGGACCTGGGTCATGCAGGTTTGTAACTTAACCTCGCTCAAGTCACTTGTGCTTTCTGGCCGTCCATTCCCCCGTCCCTCCCATAGGAGGGACGTTCCCTCACATAGCACAAAACCAGCACTTCGCAGGGGAAGAGAAAGCAGCACTTGGACCCCAGCTCTTTCGCCCCCCGGTGCGGCGGCTCTCACAGAAGACGGAGCTCTGCCTACCTGAGTTTTTGTCGGGCAGTCGGTTTATCCTCCACACGATGGCATTGAAGGCATGCTCGTATTTGGCAGTCCCCAGGGTGACTCTCATGACCGGCTCAGAGCCAGAGATGCTGGCTGAGCCAAAACTTGCCCCCCGGTTCACTTTGGCTTTCAGAGACTTCTCCCCCAGGACGCTTTCCCTGCGGAAGTTTTTCACCCACTCGCTGGGCACGGGGTAGCGGACCATCACATTCTCGCAGGGGACCTGGGTGAGGGGGTCCCAGTTGGAGGAGAAGCCCGCCGACATCCTCAGCCAGCTCTGCACCTCCACCTCCGCCCCGTGGATGCTCGCCGCCGTCCTGAGCGTGAAGGGCAGGGTCTTCTCGGCGAACACTGTCCGGAACCGCATGAGCTCAAAGCGGCAGGCGTCCAGAGGGTTGAAGAGGATGACGCGCGAGCTGCGGAACACGTCCTCATCCACGCAGCCGTGAAAGCGGCACTCGTGGAGCCGGATCCACTTGGTGGTGGTGGTGGGCACGATGTCCTGGCGGGACACCACCTCGTTCCCTTTGACCAGGACATCGTTGAGACCCAGCCGGCACTCGGCCAGGCCCGAGAGGAAGCTCAGCACATGGATCCGTGTCAGGACACGGTGCTGGAGGATCTGGTTGTCCCCCTTGCTCACGAGGCCAGAGAACTCATCCTGGACGTCCACCGTCATCTCCTCTTCCAGGTAGTTCAGGCCGACCGTGCTCAGCTCCATGGACAACACGGGCAGCTCCATGAGGCGGTCCTGAACTGCCCGGATGAAGCTCAGGAAGTCCTCATAGTTGGTGGTGCCCAGCTTGATGACTTGCTCCCTCTCGGCCGAGTGGGCCACGGCGGGTTTAGGCTGGTACTTCTTCTTCTCCTTGTAGGTGACGCGGTCTATCCGCAAGCTGTGGATCCTCCCGTTCTCGTCTTCCAGAGGGTTGAAGAGGATGACGCGCGAGCTGCGGAACACGTCCTCATCCACGCAGCCGTGAAAGCGGCACTCGTGGAGCCGGATCCACTTGGTGGTGGTGGTGGGCACGATGTCCTGGCGGGATACCACCTCGTTCCCTTTGACCAGGACATCGTTGAGACCCAGCCGGCACTCGGCCAGGCCCGAGAGGAAGCTCAGCACATGGATCCGTGTCAGGACACGGTGCTGGAGGATCTGGTTGTCCCCCTTGCTCACGAGGCCAGAGAACTCATCCTGGACGTCCACCGTCATCTCCTCTTCCAGGTAGTTCAGGCCGACCGTGCTCAGCTCCATGGACAACACGGGCAGCTCCATGAGGCGGTCCTGAACTGCCCGGATGAAGCTCAGGAAGTCCTCATAGTTGGTGGTGCCCAGCTTGATGACTTGCTCCCTCTCGGCCGAGTGGGCCACGGCGGGTTTAGGCTGGTACTTCTTCTTCTCCTTGTAGGTGACGCGGTCTATCCGCAAGCTGTGGATCCTCCCGTTCTCGTCATAGTTTTGGAGCCGGGGTTCGGAAATCTCATGGCACATCTCCAGCTTGAACTCACGGAATGGCCTCTCCAGGCCCTGCTCATAAAACAGCTGCAGGTAACCACCGGCCGTCAGTTTGACGTAGATGGGTCCCCAGTGCCTGGAGGACATGATGTTCTTCTTCTCGGGGATCCTAAGCATCATGGGCCACCCGTCTCTGGGCGGGGACTGCTCGGAGCCGGCTGGGTCCTCATCCAGTTCAGTCCAGGCGGTCGGGTCATCATCAGGGAGCGTGGCACCCCCCACGTGGTCGGAATCCTCGATTTGGAGCCGCTTGAGTTTTTCCACAGCATCCGAGCGTGACTGGTTTCGGCTTGAGTCATCAAAACTGATGGCGTCCCGGTAGACGACAACGAGGGAATCCCTCTGGCTCTTGCCTGGGGTACCGGACACAGAACTGTTCTGGGCTCGCCTCTCCTGCTCCTCAAAGAAAGCCCGGAAAGGGTTGATGGGGGACGGCTGTACATCCTGTAGCGTCTCATTCAGAAAAGGATTGGTGGCCCTCCAAGGTGGAGCCTCGGGCACGGCAGGCGGATGGCTTACGGAGGACACGTCTAGCTTCTGAACTTTGGAGAAGTTCATCAAAGTGCTCTTGGGCCGCTCCCGCTTCTTAAATGACCCTGTTGAGTTGTAAGGTCCATCTGGGGTCACGGAGGCAAGAGGCGGTGTTTCTGGCTTCAGAGGAGACGTGATGGGGGACAAAGGGCTGCTGACTTCATTGTCATCAAAAGTGACCCAGCTGGGGAAACGCGCAGAGGTCACTGGTGTGGCAGGGTGTCCGTTCACGGCTGGGCTGCCAGCCTGCCAGCTGATGGCCTCCATCTCTACCTCTTCATCCTCCTGCAGAGAGGAGGAATTGTCTGAAAGGAAAAGGAGAACACGTGAGGGATTGCTGCTCAGGGCCTCTAGGAATACGGGGATGAGGGAGTTTTGCTAGAATTTTATCTGGAATCCAGTAAATCCCAAAGCAGTTCATTACCTGTCGCAAGTGTTTAGTCTGGCACAGCTCTTACAGTTTTGTAGTAAGCACACCAGAGAAGGCAGAAGTCGCTCAGTCGTGTCTGACTCTCTGCGACGCCGTGGACTATAGAGTCCGTGGGATTCTCCAGGCTAGAATACTGGAGTGGGTAGCCTTTCCCTGCTCCAGGGGGTCTTCCCAACCCAGGGATTGAACCCAGGTCTCCTGCATTGCAGGCGGATTTTTTATCGTCTGAGCCACCACGGAAGCCCCCTAGAGGGCCGCATGTTAAAGCAGTAAGAATGCAAACGGCAATACAGAAGCACTGGTAGAACCCAGGTCCATCACAGTTTAACTCTTACACACTCTACTTTATTTTATAGAAGTTTCTGGAATAGGTTTCTTTTCTTTTTGATTCTAATGTATGTATTCTTAATTGTTAAACATCAAAACCACCTTTTACATAAAACGATATAAAGCTGATCACATTGAACAAAACAAGCCATATGCTCTAAGTGATGATATGACTGTGAATAATGTAATTGGAGGGATTTTTACCCAAATGTGATCAATAAATACTAAAGACAAAATCCTAACATGCTTAATATGAAATAAGTTTCATATGCAAGTGAATAAGAAAACTATAAAAACTTGACATACAGGCAGAGGACAGATAGACAACCCAGGAAAGAAAAAGCAAAAATGTCTAATAACTAGGTGGGAAATGTTCAGTTTCACTAGTAATAAGAAAAATGAAAATTAAGTCCCCCGAAAGAAAGTGAAGATTTTCCAAGTTTTAGTATTTGATGAGGGTAAGGGTGCTATAATGTTAACAGTAAATAGATCCTCAGTGGGACTATAAGTTGCTATAAATTCTCTGAAAATGGTTTGGCAGTTTGTATTAAGGGTCTTACAATGACTTAGTAATCTTACCCTAAGTAAACGAACCCAAATTGTGAACCAAGTTTGGGGTGAATGTTAGGAAACTGAGGCACACAGTGGAATAACATGCAGCCATTAAAATGTTTACAAGTCGGTAGAAATATAAGAAAATGCTCCTGATATTAATCTCTTCTTTTTTCTCTAAAATATTTTTCCATCTTGGGGTTTATTTGATAAAGAAAAAAAAAGATTATTATAAATAAAACTCCACTCTTGCAGGGCCTGCAAGGAAGGAGCTGCAAAGTTGAGTTTCAAGGCAGGAAAATCCCAGACCTTTTCAGTAAAGACCCGGTGCATCTGCTGTGGCTGTGGGAAGGGCGGGGGGCGGGGGGCCTTTACAAAGCCAGGAGTGGATTCTGACGAAGGAATGTCCCAGAGAACAAATCGGTGTCTGGCACAGAGCCAATATTCAGTAAAGGGTTGTTAACTGAATGAGTTGAGAAAAGAAACTCTGCTTTGGAGCAGTTGTGTTCTCACTGTCTCTGTAGAAATGTGTATCGGGATCTCCATTCCATCCATTGTTTCCACCTCCAAACATTTGGACACAAAGAGAAATGAATATTCAAACGGTTGAGTTTTCTTACCATCCTGTTAAATCTTCATGAATATCATACCCAGACACACCAAATCAGCAATGTGACACGTTATTAAACACATAATTACACGTGGATGGGAGGGCTACCTGTCATCCATCTTTCAAAGTATATTTATTCAAACAAATAGTGATTACCTCTACTGAAAGCATCAGTTTGAAAATGTAAGCTGAATACATGCACACACACACATACATACCCACACTCACCCCAGAAATAAAATGAGCAGAAAGTATTTTCTACATGTACAACATCACAAAAGAATTTCAAAGCGTTTTAAAATTAAAGAGGAGACTCTCCTTCAAGTGAACCATTAATCTACTTTTGTAGATGTAGAAGTGATTTATTTTCTGGAAAATGAAGGGAAAGGAACCAGAAAACAATCGAGGTTTGTAGGGCATATTTTACTACTGCTACTACTGTTTGATAACATTATTTGACAACATTATTATTACTGTTGTGGTGGCTGTAATGAAGGCTAAAGGGAACAATGTAGCCCTGAGTAAAATATAATCACTACCTTGAAACAGTAACTGAACCGCCCTAGGGAAGGGGATGTATCACAAAATGTATCACTTTCTAATGAAGCAGCTCTATGGAGCTTTTGTGGACAGTACTTCTACTCACAGTCTGGTGCTGACTCACCCCTTGTACTAGGGACATCCTTTCTGCCTTGGAGCTCAGGACTACTCCCAAGCTTCACATGTACCCCAAGTCCTTTTTGGTTGGAGGGTGGATTCTGCCAAAGCTGTTTATTCTTGCTGCCAAAGGATTTTCTTCTGTTGGGAATTTTGTCCCCAAAATAGCACTTTCCATCCTCTCCCAAACTGAAAGAAAAAGGGGGGGGGGGGCCTTTGTCTCCACTGAAGATAATTTAATTTTCTTACAGTAAGTCTTAGAATTTTAAGCCAAGTTACTTGAAATCACACCAAGTCCTAGACAGTTTTGAAGCATTAGACTCATAATACAACTTAAATTAAGTTATCTTTAAATTGGGGGCTTCTCTGGTGGCTCAGATGGTAAAGAATTTGCCGACAATGAGGGAGACCCAGGTTTGATCCCTGAGTTGGGAAGATCCCCTGGAGAAGGAAATGGCAATCACTCCAGTATTCTTGCCTGGAGAATTTCATGGACAGAGGAGACACAGTCCACGGGGTCGCAGAGAGTCAGACACAACTGAGCAGCTAACACACACACACACACACGTCTCCAAATTTGGAGGCAAATTTTTTTAATGAGATCAATTTCTAGAGATTCTATATTCATTAAATAGTATCAAAAGATTGTTACAAAGCTACCTCTTCTTTGGCATCTTCATCTTCCATGATTGCAAACTGTTTTAAAAATCCATCTTTGGGGATGGTAGTAATGTAATAGGTCAAATTTCTGAAAATGAGAATTTGGTTTTCTACAAAAACATTTATAAGGAAAAAAATAATAAAAGCACTTTTCTGGATGAAAAACAAAATTGGTTCATAGTTCACAGAGGGTCACGGCGGTTCATATTTTCATCTGAAAATAAAGCATTTCTTGAGGCGAACCTACAGTTCAGTACAGTTCAGTTCAGTCGCTCAGTCACGTCCGACTCTTTGCAACCTCATGAATCACAGCACGCCAGGCCTCCCTGTCCATCACCAACTCCCAGAGTTTACTCAAACTCATGCCCATCGAGTCGGTGATGCCATCCAACCATCTCATCCTCTGTCGTCCCCTTCTCCTCCTGCCCCCAATCTTTCCCAGTATCAGGGTCTTTTCCAATGAGTCAGCTCTTCACNAGGGTTGCTCGGAAAAATTAATCCAGATGTTAGAATTGTGTTTGGCAAACATTAAATGTTCATTAGATGTTGGTGGCTATACCTACTGTTGTTGCTGCTGCTAGAATGATATATACTCATGATATAAAGTGTATAAACATATTAAAAAGCTTTTTGATGTGAAAACAAATATGTGGGGTAAGAGGTGATTTTTAAAATTCTAACTCTGTAGTCTTTCCGTCCTTCAAAAATGCTGTGTTGCTTACAAAATAAAGAAATACTAAAAGGTCAAAATGTATCTTTATGCCTCCCACTAACTAACCTTAGAGAAAGAAAACTAAGAGCTTTGCTGTAGTCTGTGTTGATAAAGCAGCAGTTAGATCTCTCCTAAGACACCTGTGACTGGTGTGGCTGGTTTAGAAACAATAAGGGGAGGGGAAAGTCTGGCAAATTTCACCACTAAGAAACCAGTAAAATGAATTATTTTCAGAACAACTTTATCATCCACAATTCTGTTTTACTGACATTAAAATATAACCAAAAATCCAACTTCACTTTACTTACTCTCTCTTCCACTCACTACCTCCAAATTGCTTTTAGTATTATGAGTTGGTGGTGGTGGTTTAGTCACCAAGTCGTGTCCGACTCTTGCAACCCCATGGACTGTAACTTGCCAGGCTCCTCTGTCCATGGGGATTTTCCAGGCAAGAATACTGGAGTGGGTTACCATTGCCTTCTGCAGGGGTGTTATGAGTTGGGCTGCTGCTAAATAAAAACCACGGATGAGGGTTAGGTTTTCATTCTACACTACAGGGAGAATTTCCAGTACCTTTCCAGTAGTCATGTATGGATGTGAGAGTTGGACTATAAAGAAAGCTGAGTGCCGAAGAATTGATGCTTTTGAACTGTGGTGTTAGAGAAAACTCTTGAGGGTCCCTTGGACTGCAAGGAGATCCAACCAGTCCATCCTAAAGGAGATCAGTCCTGAATATTCATTGGAAGGACTGATGCTGAAGCTGAAACTCCAATACACTGGCCGACTGATGTGAAGAACTGACTTATTGGAAGAGATCCTGATGCTGGGAAAAATTGAAGGCAGGAGGAGAAGGGGATGACAGAGGATGAGATGGTTGGATGGTATCACCAACTCAACGGACATGAGTTTGAGTAAACTCCAGGAGTTGGTGATGGACAGGGAGGGCTGGTGTGCTGCAGTCCATGGGGTCACAAAGAGTTGGACACGACTGAGCGACTGAACTGAAGTGAACTGAAGAGCTTCCTTAGTGCCTTGACTGATGTAAACTAAAAAGAAATGGTGGGCCCTTTTGATGTTAGACCACAGTGGATTTTAAGTTCCCCGAAGATTAAATTAATTGATTACAATGGCAATCAAAACAACCAAACTGCAGAAAAAGTAAGCTCTGTGGGGGAGAAAATGTAAGATTCTATGATATTTTTGAAAAGAGCAGATGAGATTTGCCATTTTCCTCCTCCATTTGTTAACCTAGTTTATTAAATGCAATGACAAGTGCAAAACACTTACTGAGAGCTGTTCCTTGGAATTTATGAGCAGTGGCAAAAACAGGTAGATTACTGCAGTAACAGTTACTGTT